TTATTACTCCCATTGCTGTTTGATAGTTTTTATTTCATGGTATTGTTGAAATGAACAGTGATAAGTAAATTAAGGATCTCAGCAGATTTAGAGATGTAGGCGGTTTCTTCAGAAGAGGAAGAGTCATGTGAGCAGTTTAATGACGGCATTCCTCTGAGATGAATCACAACTAGACGTAAACACTCAGATCAGTCATTCACTTTGTGGAGCTGACTGACAAGCTGGATGTTAATACTAATTTGAATGGATTAATGATAATTTCTAAACATACCAAACCTAGAACATGGCTGTTTATAAATTCATGCATACTTTAATCCTCCTGTGGATTTGTGTCTGTGGAGCGAGCTGTGACAGACTACATCAGGCAGAGGAGGGTGAGTATCAGTGATGTATTATAATTAGATTTAAATATATTTCACCCATTCTTGAGAATTGGGACAAACCCCTATATTTTCTGTTTATATTGTTTTTCCACTATAATTATGGTAAGAAAATATGTTTTAAAATACGGGCCAACCTTGCAGTTATTTATTTTTCCTAAAATAACATTTTCTGCAGCTCAGGACTTTTGTCAACTCAGTCAGACAAACAAATAGTCACAGTTTTTTAAAATAAAAGGAAATGTTTAATATTTTTATTTTTATTAAAAACAATATTATTCAATTAGCTGAATAATCCAAAAGTTTGGTTTCTTTTAATTCTACAAATAAAAAAGTTAAAAGGTGTCACAAAGGTGACACCTCAATGACGAAGTTGGTGTATACGTCCGAATGGACTTATGACTATTGCATCTGTGTCTTATTATCTTCTAGTATGTGCCGTAGTGTATGATCCCTGTGCATTGTAAGCGTGTGTGTGTGTATGCGGGTGTGTATTTTTCTTTTGCTTTCATTCTGAGTCTTCTCATGACAGATCTCTCAAGTTCTTGGGTTGGCCATTGCTTTGCCAATCGACTATTTGTATGCCTGTAAAAAAAAATTCTCCGCTTTGTCCTTTGTGTCCATGTTTCACCGTATAAAAAACTTTAAATAAATAAAACATAAAGATAATAAATAAATAAATCATCACCTCCAGATAATTGAGAAAAAGAAAAAGACAAAGCTAAAGGGTTAGGGCTATCCTTTATTAAGACTGCCCATAACCATGGCTGTAACCAGCTATGAGGAAAACACTGTCTCCAACGAATGTATGAAGCGATAGATGGCTTTTTATTTTTGAAAATACTTACACCCAAATCTAAAAAGCCACAAACAGCCATAAACTGTCTCTGTTTCTCGCTGCCCTTGACGCGCACACACCGTCTATTCAAATTTTTTATTGAATTTTTCAAAGGCATGGTTCATGGCATTAAAACACTTCAGTTTTAAGGATACAGTAACCCTTAGTTTACCCAAATCGTGGAGGCAGACGTCAGTACACAGATCCAGTGAATTTAAAGAACTACATCAGCAGGCTATGAAAATATAGAAAAGGAAATACAGCAGACATTAATGTAATTATAATAATTTTAACAAATAATGCTGGTCACAGCAGAGACAAGTCGAATCAAAAATACAATAAAATGGTGAACCTATCAGGGATGAGGGTTATCACATGTAAGGAGTAGTTGCACAGAGAAGAGTTTACAATCTTATTCAATTGTGAGGCATTACGTTTTTCTGGTTGAAGTTTCATATAGTTCATAACATCATTGTCTGTAACATTGTACTGTCTAGACATAATGCAAGTCCTTATCTGCAAATACTTCCAGAAATTGCCTTTGCCCACCAGGTTAAATCTCTCCATAAGATTATTATACAACAGGAACACACCATCCTCAATAAGTCATTAATAGTGCTTAAACCTCCAAACATCTCTTGAGTGCAGAAGGGGGTTTGTGATATTAAACACTTTTTGAGAAAACATCTCTAAAGGTTTGAATGGTGAGCAAAGCTTATTTTCAATATCCATCCAAGCTATTTTTACTTCTGTTGCACTCCAATATTATGCTATTTTGGACGCACTGAAAAATAAATGGTATAATCTTGGGTCGGGGAGGCCCATCCTTCCCTTCTCCTTATGTGCACATAACTTTCTCAGTTTAATTCTTGGCCTTTTCCCACTCCATAGAAAAGTCTTTACAGTATCATCATACTGCTTAAAAATCTTAGATGGTATTTTGACGGGCAACATCATACTAATATAATTAAACTGTGGTGCAATTACCATTTTTATTATGTTAACTTTTCCCCACAATGTGAGTTTGATTTACTCCCACTTATCAAGGTTGGGCTTCATTTTTTGGAGTAATGGGTTAAAATTGAACATAACTATGTCTCCTGTGTCCTGAGCAAGTTTAATGCCAAGGTATTTCAATCCCATTCAAACCCACTTGAAGTTAAACTTCTCTACTATAAATGTTAGACATGAATTAGAAAGTGGCATTGACTCCGACTTATTCCATTTAACAGTGTAACCTGAAAACATTTAAAAGGATTATTTGGTATGGATGACAAAGGGTCGGACACAACGGCTAAAATATCATCTGCATAAAGTAGGAGTTTATGCTCTGTGTCTCCACCCTTAACCCCTTTTATACCAGGGTGTGCCCTAATAGATACCGAAAATATGTCTAAAAAGATGATTAACAATAACGGACTCAGAGGACACCCTTGGCGTGTACCTCTGGCCAGCTTAAAAAGGGGGACACCACCCTGTTTGTCATTACTGCCGCTTTAGGATCTTTATACAACATTTAGACCCAATTCATAATTGGAGTTAAAGCCAAAATGAGACAAGGTGGAAAATTAAAATTGCCATTCCACCTTATCAAAGGCTTTCTAGAGAAACAGCCGTGATTGGTGTATTTTCAAATTGACTCAGCCACATTAAATGTAATAATAGTCTAACATTGTCTGTTGAGGTCCTATTCTTCATAAATCCCACTAAGTTGAGGTGGATGATGTTCCATAACACCAACTGCAGGCGTGTGGCCAATATTTTTGTCAAGATTTTCCAATCAAGACTTAGCAAGTTAATAGGTCTAAAATTGAAAGGATCTACTGCATCTCTACCTGATTTAGGAATCAGTGAGATAACAGCTTCATTTTTTGAGTTTAAAGATTGGATCTAAGTGCCTCTTTTCTCAGTATTTAAGTTCACATTAACAAGTTATTCAACTAGTGCGTGGTCTGAGATAGTTATTGCATGTACAACACAGTTAGCTACGTTATCTGTTAAAGAACTTATTAGAAAAAAGTCTATCCTTGAGTACATTTTGTGACAGTGTGAGAAAAAGGTATAGTCTCACATAGGTTGATTAGTTAAACTCCATATGTCTGTTAGTCCTACATCACTACTCAACATATGCAAAGTGTCCCTCTCCTTAGTCAGGAGAAGAGCTCTGCATGAACTCCTGTCCAAAAATGGATAGACAACTTCATTAAAGTCACCAGCTAACACAATTTGGCCTTCAGTGTCTCGACCTCACTATTTTCTAAACCCTGGTTACCGCCCTGGCCCTAGTTAAAACCGACTTAGGAGTTAGGACCTTTCTGAGTTAAACTGCTACTGGAGCCTACATCAATACATGCATACTTCCCATCATGATGCAGTGTCAGTGATGCTCGTTGGCTGCTTTGGGTTGACTGGTGATTGATCATTGATTATGAAGTTTGCTCTTTTTCTCAGAGCTTTTTCATTCTGACAAAGAGACGACACTGAGCTGGAAGTCTGAACCTGCCAGAGAGGTGAGTTTGAATCTTTGCAGTTTGTAAAGACAGCTGCTTGGTCTAATCAGATATAAAAGTACAGATCAATAAACACACAGATATATGAATGTGTATATCTGTAAACTGCTGCAGCTCCTGTCTGATCTCTGTCTCTCTCTTCATTTCAGTGGGACGAGGTTGCGCTCAGAGTTCAAACAGAGACTCAGGTTCCGGTTCTTCAGGCATGTGGAAGACGCGTTTTGAGGACAGTTTTGAGTCGGTGGATGGAACGTAAAGACGCTCACATCCTGCTGATGGATGTTTTATTTACACAGGAAGAGGAACCGTCAGGTCAGCGGAGTCCTCTACGTATCCACCTGTTTGACTCTGACACACCTGTCACAGGGTTTAAAAGTGGCAGGTCAGCCATGGACCTGCAGACCTCAAGTCCGTTCCCTGATACGGTCCATCCACAGGAAGTCCTGACCCACCTGAACCTCAGCAGGGCTCTGAATCTGGGTCCAGTCAACTGCAGAGGCTTCCACATTGGCTTCTCATACTCAGGAACATGTCTGCTGATTACTTCCATCAGACTGTACTACAAGAAGTGCTCTGACATCACAGAACACCTGGTCAGGTTTAAAGGGAAGGGGTCAGGGTCTGGTCCAGTGATTGGCTCTTGTGTGACGGGGGCAGTGGAGGTTTCTCCCCCTGTTAGAGAATGTACTGTGGGAGGAGTCTGGGGTCCTCTACACGGGGGCTGTACCTGTAAGCCCGGACACGAAGTCATTAATAACACCTGTGCAGGTATGACTATAATTTTCAACACATTCAAACAAAGGTATATTTTACCCAGAGTCTGATCACACTAAAGTCTAACATAATGAAATGCACAGCCAACCTCTTTAATTCCTTAACAGCTCACAGTTTTAGAATGAGTCATGTGTTCGGAACAGAAATAATATTGATGACATGTTCTTTCCATCTTTAAAACAAAAAAAAAGACTTTCACTTCCTCTTTCCCATCATCCTCTTCCTCTCACATTTTTTTTAATCTCAGTTTTATAAATTCAGTTTGTGGATTTTTCAACACATGGGATTTCAGTGTTCTGATCAGAAACATTATTGAGCTTTATTGGTTGTAAAGGTGACAAAAAAAACTTTCTGTTCTTGAGAACGAGAATTTGATTGAAAATCACAATTTCCCACTGAACTATAAAACTGTAATGACACAATGTAAACCCAAACTAACCCTTAAAACACATTTTCTTTTTCCCCAGTGTGTGGGCAGGGCTTCTACAAGCCACTCAATGAAAGTGGAGGATGCAGGGTCTGTCCCCGAAACAGCCTGACACACAAAGAGGGATCAGAGACGTGTGTGTGTGTTCAAGGTTTCAGCCGCCTGACCTCTGACCCTGTTGACCTTGGCTGCACCAGTAAGAAACACTGACTGAGTTAACTTGTTACTGATTATTATTTATTAAATGTATTTATTATTAATTCTAAAAATGAATTATTACACGGAAACAGGAAATCAACCTTGTGATCAAACACTGATCAGTGTGAACTTTAGGGCCCCCTGCTGGTAGAAAGTAATGAAGACCAAAGTTTTTATTATTACCAACCTTGAGTCATTTTTTGTTTTCATGAAATTCAAATTCAAATTGATTCAACAACGTTTAAATCTCGTACTTAAAAAGAGCTGGGCTTTAAATATGAACTGTGTATATTGGTTACATATTATTATGATCTATAAATCTTTAATGTAGACTTGATCACAAGCTGGTATCAGGGCCATGTTTCTGTCTTCCTCAGAGCCTCCTTCTGCTCCTCTCAACCCTTCGATGCTTCGTCACAGTGACTCCGAGCTGCTGCTGACCTGGGACCCTCCTCATGACTGGGGAGGCAGACAGGAAGTGATGTATAACATCACCTGTGAGGAGGAAGTCGAGGTTGGAGGTCAGTGGAGGACATGTGGACAGGAAGTGGTTTTCCTGCCGCACTCGGCCGCTCTTAACAAAACTTCCGTCAGAATCTCAGGACTGGATCCAAACAGTGACCACAGACTGTCAGTGAGAGCCTGGAACCATGTATCAGGCCAGCAGGGGGAGCCAGTATCATCCACCACAACCCTTACTATACATAGATGTAAGTATGCACTGAATACATGTTTGATAGTATCTATAAACATAGATCTATGTTATTACTATTATTAACAGGGTTGGGATTAAATATCTATACACAGATCTATGTTGTTATATATCTATACTTTGTGTTTCAGGGAAAGCTCCTGGTGTCAATGTTTTAGTGACTCCGATCTTCAACTCTTCAGACAGCGGTTCGTCTCAACGGTCAAACCTTCGTTTCGCTTCGTGGTTAACAGTCGGACTTTTAGTCTTCAGTCTGCTGCTGATGGCCGGGATCTCCGTCATCGTGCTTCTGCTAAGACGTAAAAAATACAAACATCGGTAAGAAGGATCTTTATGTTTCTGCTGATTTGATGAACATCAGTTTCTCCTCAAGGTTTTCAGAACATTTGATCCCCATATCTGAGATTATATTATTTCATAATATGTATAAATATAAACTATAATATAAGAATAGTTTATAAAACCCCATCATATATTTTATTATACATCATATTGAAACACACACTCAGCTATAAAACAGCTGGTGATGAATGTAGATATTTATTGATAAATCATAAACTGACTGTTTACAGCTTTAACTTGATTTTATTTGATGAATTTATTAATAAAATATTTTAACGTTTTCTCTGCAGATCCGAGCACGATGGTCATTTCTTTCCGATGAATGCTGAAACTTCTTACCGATGTCCTCAAGAGGTTGAATCTGCCCCCCCGACACAAAGTCAGTTTAATATAAATAACGTATAAAACATATTTTAATATTACAGTAATTTAAGATTGAATAATTATTGTGTCATTAAAGGTTCATAACGTATCATGTGTTGCAGCGGGCGGGGGAGGGGCAGAGCTGTTGGAAGGTTTCAACGACAGGCTGAAGAAATTTCTTGTGGACAGACAGAAAGTCACTCTTGGCAAAGAGCTGGGCCGAGGTTAGATCGTTAGGCTTCCTTAATTAACTTGATTAATCTTTTTCATTCATTAATGAATGAATTAAAATGCAAACGTCCGGTCTCTGTGTTGCTCAGGAGAGTTCGGTTCAGTCTTTGAAGGACTCTTCAGTCCAAGTGAAGGTGTGAACATGAAGGTTGCAGTGAAAACAATGAGAGGTCAGTCCACTGTATCTCATCAGAAAGCTTTAGTTAATCATGTTAATTCATTATTACTGAAATCATATCATAATAATAATAATAATGAATGTTTCCTCTTTGTGTTTAGCGGGGATCCACAATCTGGCTGACCTGCATGAGTTTCTGAGAGAGGCCGAGATTATGCAAAACTTTGATCATGAAAATGTCGTCAGACTCCTCGGTGAGAAGACCTCTGACATTTTTAGGCCAGCAGGGGGCCGCTCTTTAATGCTGTGTTGTCCAGCAGGGGACACTGTCTTAAGACATAACATGTGTTGTCCAGCAGGGGTCGCTGTTTTAAGACATAACATGTGTTGTCCAGCAGGGGTCACTGTTTTAAGACATAACATGCGTTCAATCAATCAATCAATCAATTTTTATTTGTATAGCGTCAACTCATAACAAGTGTTATCTCGAGACACTTTACAAAAAGCAGGTAAAATACCTTACTCTTTGTCTTTAAACATTACAAACGAGCAGGTAAAAAGACCATACTCATTGTTACGTTACAAAAAGCAGGTAAAAGACCTTACTTATAACATGTGTTGTCCAGCAGGGGGCCGCTGTTTTAAAACATTACATGTATTGTCCAGCAGGGGGCCGCTGTTTTAAGACATAACACGTGTTGTCCTGCAGGGGTTGCTGTTTTAAGACATAACATGTGTTGTCCAGCAGGGGCTGCTGTTTAAAGTCGTGACATGTTTTGTCCTGTAGGGGTGGCTGTGCAGAGGGAGCAGGACTCTCTTCTTCCCGTCCCTCTGGTCATTCTGCCCTTCATGAAACATGGAGACCTGCGGAGTTTCCTCATCGCTACACGTTACGGAAATGTCCAAATGGTACTATTCACACATCATGTAAATACTATTTGAACAACACGCACAAAGAAAAACAAAGAAACACTGACTCTTACAGAACAATGGTTGCTGGGATATAAAGTATTTCATGAGACAGATGTGTAGGAGAAACTCCTGCACTCTTATATGTAAACAGACTTTTATTAGTACCTTCCTGTCGTTGCTTTTCTGTCTTTTATTACAGTGTAAAGAAATCAATTCACACTTCTCTGTGTTCATCCTGTCTGAAGGTCAAAGGTCAGATCTTTTCTGTAATAAATGACATCACTGCTAAAAATTCTAATAAATCTCCTCCGTCTCGTCAGTTTGTTCCTCTTCAGAGTCTTCTTCGCTTCATGGTCGATATCGCTGCAGGGATGGACTATCTGAGCTCACAGGGCTTCCTGCACAGAGACCTCGCAGCTCGAAACTGCATGTGAGTCCACCCAATGGGGGTCTCTGAGGGGGAGGGGAGATGGAATCAAGGACTCATTGTTCATTAAAAAACCTGTTTCACTGTTTGCAGATATTAGTATTCAAACTCTGCTCCTGTCAGTGGGGCAGCTGCATACAGATCAATAAAGACCTGTGTGTGTGTGTGTGTGTGTGTGTGTGTGTGTGTGTGTGTATGTGTGTGTGTGTGTGTGTGTGTGTGTGTGTGTGTGTGTGTGTGTGTGTGTGTGTGTGTGTGTCTGTGTGTTTGTGTCTGTGTGTTTGTGTGTCTGTGTGTGTGTGTGTGTGTGTGTGTGTGTGTGTGTGTGTGTCTGTGTGTGTGTCTGTGTGTCTGTGTGTGTGTCTGTGTGTGATCCACAGGCTGGGTGATGACCTGCGTGTGTGTGTTGCTGACTTCGGACTGTCAAAGAGAATCTACAGCAGCAATTACTACCGTCAGAGAGCGGCCATCAGAGTACCGATCAAATGGATGTCAATGGAAAGTCTGTCAGAGTCCATCTACACCAGCAAGAGCGATGTGGTGAGTTCAGGGACACTGTAAAACACATCGTCCGTCAGAGTCTGTCTATGCCAACAAAAGAGCCAAATGGTGAGTTCAGGGACACTCTGTAAAACACACCATCCGTCAGAGTCCGTCTATGCCAGCAAGAGTTCGGGGACATCTCAAAAACAGAGATAAAATATTATACACCTGATAATACACCTGAAGTCTGATTTGTAATCTTTTCTTTGTAAAATGTGGCATGTAATAGAAACTTTATTTTATGGCATTTCCTCAGTGGTCGTTCGGGGTGACGATGTGGGAGATTTTGTCCAGGGGGAGAACTCCATATCCTGGAGTCCATAACCACGAGCTGCTGGATCTACTGCGGTCTGGATTCAGACTGAAACCACCTGAGGAGTGTGACCACAGACTGTGAGTATGATCAGTTATCATGCTCTTTGTTTTATTATTATATTTCATCATTTATCATATTTAATATTTTATTCTGGCTCTAATAACTCTGCCCTCTGCTGGACACTTTCAGACTTTCTCACTAAATTTTTTTAATCTGCATGAGTCCTCTGACACAGGATATTTATTCATACCTCCCTCCTCTTCCTCCTCCACCTGTCTCCTCCCGTTGTCTCCTTCCTCCTCCAACTCACTGTCTCTTCCTTCTCCCTCTCTTTCTCTCTGTCTCCTTCCTCCCTCTGTGTATTTCCTCCTCCCTCCTATTCCTCCCTTCATCTCTCTGTCTCTTTCCTCCTCCCTTCTCTTCCTCCCTTCCTCCCTGTCTCCTTCCTCCCCCTCCTCTTCCTCCCTCCCTCTCCCCTGCCTCTGTCTCCTCCCTCCTCCCTCTCCCTCCCTCTGTCTCCTTCCTCCCCCTCCTCTTCCTCCCTCCCTCACCATCCTTCTGTCTCCTCCCTCCTCCCTCTCCCTCCCTCTGTCTCCTTCCTACCCCTCCTCGTCCTCCCTCCCTCTCCCTCCCTCTGTCTCCTTCCTCCTCTTCCTCCCTCCCTCTCCCTTCCTCTGTCTCCTTCCTCCTTCCTCCTCTTCCTCCCTCCCTCACCCTCCCTCTGTCTTCTTCCTCCTCCTCCTCCCTCCCTCTCCCTCTGTCTCCTTCCTCCTCTTCCTCCCTCCCTCTCCCTCCCTCTGTCTCCTTCCTCCTCCCTCCTCTTCCTCCCTCCCTCTCCCTCCCTCTGTCTCCCTCCCTCTCCCTCTCTCTGTCTCCTCCCTCCTCCTCCCTCTAACACAGGTATGAGGTGATGAGGAGATGCTGGGATGAAGATGCGACCATCAGGCCGGACTTTAAGGAGCTGGTTCAGACTCTGAGAGGGTTTCTATCAGAGCTGCCCGAGCTGGAGGCGAGTGAGGAGGTGAACTACCTCAACCTGGGGCTGGAGGCTGCAGCTGCTGCTCCTCACACAGACGAGAGGTGGGGGAATGTCTACCTGTGTGCACCTGTCGGAGCTGCAGTCAGAGAGGAGGATGTGGAGGTAGAGGACGGATACCTGAAGTACATCGAGGATGATAATGATGAATAAAATAACATGTTATAAAACTCAGGGCGGACTGTGTGTGGATGTTTATAAAGTGAGAGTATCTAACTGTCATGATGTATTTCAAACTGAAAGAAAGAACCAATCACAAGATAGAAGGCGGGACATAACACATTTATATGAACATTTAATCCAGGAGCGCTGATTTCATGGGGACTTTAATTCTCTTTAGTTTTATTTCTGTGACTGTAAGATTTCAGATGTGTTCACGTAAAAGTTTGTTTACAAAAATAAAATATGAAAATGAAAAAAGACAAGACTGGAAGGACTGATTTGTTTAAAGTACATCGCTCTTAATTTATTATTATTATTTATTTATTTTTCAATAGTGAACAACAATTCCCAGCCTGATGTAGTTCTACACTGAATCGTGACACGCCCCTTGACGTCACTTCCGCAGCTGCGCAGTGAGCAGTTGACGCTGTCTCCAACAGCGGACACAGAGGTGTGGAAGCTAATGAAAAGAATAACGGGAGAAAAACGGAAAAATGTCCGGTTTATTCCAACTTATGTGAAGAAAATAAGAAATAAAAACACCGGCACGAGCAGCGGGTGTTAACGGAGACGGTGATACGTCTTCAAAGTGCGTCATCCTGACCGGAGAACCATCGAGAGAAACATGAATCCTGAGTAGTGAGTATCATACTATTTAATGCTAATACTGGGTCAGTGATGCTAAAGCTAACAGGGAGTGGAGCGCACGAGCCCGACTCACCGTCAGCTGACTCCCCGCGCGTGCCTCAACGTGTCGGCTGTGGCACGAGACAGCAAGAGTGTGATGTTTATGACGTTAAATGTAACGTTAAAGAGTAGCGATTTTAACTGACGCCAAGGGACACTGTGAGACCGGAAACGATGTTAAACGTCTTACCATGGTTACCGTAACCTCCCCTTCCCTACCAGTGACGTGTGAACGCTAAACACACTGTACCCTCTCTCCATACCTGTGACGCGTCCTGGTCGACCAGAATAACGACAGTGCATTGAAAAAGTAAATTTTACTTGCATGAAATCAAAAAAATAAACTCGGGTTGAAGAAACGTCGTTGTATCGACCCAGAGTCCCTGGGTACGATGGTTTTTGTTTGATAATGACGACTTAAAAGATGGTTTCTATACTGATTAGAGCTCTCAAGAACTGCCCTCAATGTTGTGCTTTGCCTCTGGTCACTTCCTGTCAGCACCTGTGTGTCCAATCGGACTCAAAGCTGATCGTTTGCTCTTACTGACATTGTTCCCTTTTTTCTAGATCCTTGCTTGTGTTGTACTTACTCTCTGATGTACGTCGCTTTGGATAAAAGTGTCTGTTAAGTGAATTGTAGAATTGTTGAATATCGGCACGTATCGGAGGTAAAATGAGCCGATGCTGATATGCTAATATCGGCTGATACCTGACTAGAGATCTGACCCTCTTCAGCTTTGTGCACGTTCTGTGTTCAACTAACCAATGTTATCTTTTACCAAGTGAGAACACTGATAGACGGGGATACAAATATATTTCATGAGTCTATCAAACAGTTATGTTCTAAACGTTCCATCTTCTGATTGTTCTCCCTCAGTGATTATCTGTTCAAGCTCCTGCTCATCGGAGACTCTGGAGTGGGAAAGTCCTGTCTGCTGCTACGCTTTGCAGTGAGTAACATGTTGAATTATGACTATATGTGAGGGTTCTACTGAGAACATTAGGGCAGGTCAATTAAAAGACAATGGGTCTTTGCACGGCCACACACTGTCCTCTAAAACAAGATGACTGTTATATATTCTGATGAGAACGTATGGTCGGTTCCTCTGACACATTCTCTCTGTAAATGTTCCTCTGACATGTTCTCTCTCTGAATGTTCCTCTGACACGTTCTCTCTGTAAAAATTCCCCTGACATGTTCTCTCTGTATATGTTCCTCTGACACGTTCTCTCTGTAAATGTTCCTCTGACACACATTCTCTCTGTAAATGTTCCCTTACACCGATCTCCCTGTAAATGTTCCTCTGACACATTCTCTCTGTAAATGTTCCCCTGACACATGTTCCCCTGACATGTTCTCTCTGTAAATGTTCCTCTGACACGTTCTCTCTGTAAATGTTCCTCTGACACGTTTTCTCTGTAAATGTTCTTCTTACACACATTCTCTCTGTAAATGTTCCTCTGACATGTTCTCTCTGTAAATGTTCTTCTGACATGTTCTCTCTGTAAATGTCCTCCCTGATGTTCCCTGCAGGACGACACTTACACAGAGAGCTACATCAGCACCATCGGAGTCGACTTCAAGATCCGCACCATTGAGCTGGACGGAAAGACCATCAAGCTTCAGATTGTGAGTACGGACCCCAACCCACACACACACACACACACACACACACACACACACACACGTAGCATGTGGGCTAATTTTTTTTAAATTGTAAGTCAAATTTAAATTAATTAATTAATTTAAATCCAAACACAGGTAAATTTAAATAATAATTATTGTATTTCACATAAAACATACTTCCAATATAACAAACAATAAGTTCAAACAACCAACATAAATATCCTCTTAATCAAAAAACTCTTCTTGGGTCCATCAAAAAACAAAAAAAAAATGTCAATGTCTTTCATTCCGTGTTTGAATGTCTTTTTAAATCCTACACTTGTAGCAGGGTAGAACTTGTAGGTTTTAGCTCGCCATCTCCACGGTGTAAGTTTAATACACAAAAAACCTGACCTATATAAAACAAAAAGTCATGAACAGTGATTCAATTCATTGTGCATTCATTGAAATATTCATTATCGGATCTCATTGAAAAACCCATTACTTAAACTTCACACAACATAAATATACCTTTAAATTTAGGCTATATCCAATTGGATGGAATTAATCAATCATCTATTTATATTTCTACAAACTGGGATTAACCATGGGATTACCTTTTGAAATCCTGCGGTGTAATCAATAAAAAAGAAATACATGCCAAGTTTTTCATTGACAAGGCCCCGTACACGGCCGTGGCTTAAATTAGGGGTTTTCCCAAGGGGATTCGGCATAAAAATTTCTCCCGCGATTCCCACAGGAGAAAACAACCAACGACATTTATCACTCATCTAACATTATACACAATATACAACTCACCGCTGTGTAAATCATACATTCGTTGTCCCGTCTTGGGCAACCAAACAATTCTGTCTCTGCAACATGCGATGAGATGAGGGAGGGGAAGTGACCTTGTGAACCGGATGTTTATGATAAGTGGGATGAGCTCTAATTGGTTGATAGATTTTAGCGGCGTTCAGGTGAGATTATGGAATGTTAAGGAAAATAAAATAGGGAAATAAATAAATACAAAATAAAATGAAAACCAATTAATCATAAATTATGGAGGTTCACTGAGGTCACTCCCCTCTCAAAGAAAAAATATAGAGGGCTAATATCAAATTGAACTTAATTAACCTGGGTTGCACACAAACACACACACTTTTCCCCCCTCCTGTTTATTTGTTGTTGTATGTAATTGTTACTAATGCTTCATCATTGATCACTGTTGTTATTGTTTTAAATTGTGTTGACGCTTTGGCAAGTATCGTTAATTCATGCCAATAAAGCTTCATAAATGGAAATTGAGTGTAAGCAAAGTAATACTGAAAGTGCCCTCTCCTGGATCAAACTGCTTCAGACACCCTTTTTCAAATCATTGATTTCTTACCTGTTTTCTGTCAGTGGGACACTGCTGGTCAGGAGAGGTTTCGAACCATCACCTCAAGTTATTATCGAGGAGCTCACGGCATCATCGTGGTTTATGATGTCACAGACCAGGTGAGTCTGCCATCAGTCAAACTTTCTGCTGAGAATAAGGATGAACTTAAAGGAATACAACTCAACTGATCCTTTTCTACACCTTCTCATGTGTTCATGTCCTCATGTGTTCATGTCCTGATGCTTCATGTTCTTATGTCTTGATGGTTCATATTCTAATGTCCTGATGGTTCTCATGTTCTCATGTCTTGATGGTTCATGTCCTCAGGTCCTGTTGTTCTCATGTCCTGATGGTTCATGTCCTCATGTTCTCATGTCCTGATTGTTCATGTCCTGATGTTCTCATGTTCTCATGTCCTGATGGTTCATGTTCTCATGTCCTAATGGTTCTTGTTCTCATGTCCTGATGGTTCATGTCCTCATGTCCTGATGTTCTCATGTCCCCATGTGCTCATGTCCTGATGGTTCATGTCCTCATGTCCTGTTGTCCTGATGGTTCATGTCCTGATGGTTTATGTCCTCATGTCCTAATGTTCTCATGTCCCCATGTTCTCATGTCCTGATGGTTCATGTCCTCATGTCCTGATGGTTCATGTCCTCATGTCCTGATGTTCTGATGTGCTCATGTCCTGATGTTCTGATGTGCTCATGTCCTGATGTTCTGATGTCCTCATGTCCTGATGGTTCATGTTCTCATGTCCTGGTGGTTCATGTCCTCATGTACTTATGTTCTCATTTTCTCATGTCCTGATGGTTCATGTCCTGATGTTCTCATGTCTTAATGTCCTGATGGTCTTATATCCTCATGTCCTGATGTTTCATGTCCTGATGTTCTCATGTCCTGATGGTTCATGTTCTCATGTCCTGATGTTCTCATGTTCTCATGTCCTGATGGTTCATGTTCTCATGCCCTGATGGTTCATGTCCTGATGGTTCATGTTCTCATTTCCTGATGGTTCATGTTCTCATGCCTTGATGTTTCATGTCCTGATGGTTCATGTTCTCATGTCCTGATGGTTTATGTCCTCATGTTCTGATAGTTCATGTTCTCAGAAGTGCGGATCAGGAAGATGGCGACAGGAGTGAGCGGTGTGATAGGCTCCACTCATCTCCTAACCTTAGCCTTCCTGACTTTCTTCTTTCCTCCTTTAATTTACCAACTGATCAAGCATCTCTATCAGCTAAGCAATAATTCTAAGCCTCCTCCAAAACAACCCAGCGTGTATAAACACAAAGGCGGTAAAGTTTACACGTACCTGCTCTGTGGCCTACTGTTGCTGCTTCCTCTGGTGTACACCTGTGACCATGCGGAAGACCTGATCGCAAAACTCAGCCTCAAAGCCCGAAGTTGCATCATAGATCCAATGGGATTATTATCCATCAAACCACGGATTAATTTTTCTGGTCATGGCCAAATGGCTATCGCCTCCCTTTTCCACCACGGCGGCTGACATGCAGCAGCGAGTTCGGGGCGAGCCACACAGCCACCAGACGCGGGCTGGAGAGCTGCTCAGAGTTTGTTTACTCTTCTTCTACTTGCCAGAGATGTGCACTTAAATCCAGGCCCAACTCTACAGCTGACTAGCACTTTGGATAATACACCTGCCTTTCCAGTGGAGCCTTTCTCACCCCTGGTAGCTGATCCAGCGGGGGAAATTTCGATCGTATCTATTGTGAATTCACTTCTCAAACCGCCCTCTATGAGCAACAACATAAATACACCTGCTAACACTGGCCTCGGGGGGGCTGAGGATTCGGCTCCTGACAGCCTTGCTCCGGGGATGTTCGGACGCAGGGTTCGGCTCTGAGGGGGGATGCCAGTAACTATGACGTGTGGCGCAGTGGCCAACGCGGAGCGGTCCAGCGCGCGGATCAATACAGATGGGCACGGGGTGAGTTCTAACACCTGTAAACACAGACACAGAGACAGAGACAGAGGGTGAGAGGCCACCGTGTCTGCTGATAAGACAAACTCACTTCTTGTTTACGCTGGACCAACGCTGTCACAACGCTGTCACAACGCTGTCACAAACTGCTCTGAGATCTGCTAGAGTCCATAATGGAACTCAATTGAACTGCACCGTGATAAAACAACATCAGCATCTGTGTTTTCAAACTGTGAATCATGCTAAGGTGGTCTGGGACAGTGTATGTAAACCTAAAGGTATTTTTGGTGGTCACCTTAATATTAGAAGCTTACTGCCCAAAATAGACCAAATACAGAACCTGCTTGTGGACTCAAACTTGGACTTTTTATGTCTCACTGAGAGCTGGCTTCGAAGTGACATACCATCCAACCTCGTAAACATTCCAGGATACACTTGCTTTAGGAAAGACAGATTATCGGGGAGAGGAGGGGGGGTTCTGATATACATTCAAGATAATTTTAGATGTACAGAAATACAGCTCGACTGTAATCTTGAATGCCTGGGGGTGAATATTACTCTCTCACCAAAAATGAATTTTAATGTAATTGTTTTGTATAACCCGCCTTCACATGATGCAAGTTTTTATGATGAACTGAAAAAACTGCTCATAATATCGAATATCGAATTGCTCCTCTGAATCAATTTTGCTTGGGGACTACAATATAAACTGGATGGATAAAGTTGCTGAACGAAAACTGAAAGCACTGGCTAAAAAATGTAATTATAACCAAATAATAGATAAACCTACTAGAATAACGAAGACAAGTAAAACTCTAATTGACCTTGTTTTCACAAACAAGACAGAAAGAATAACTAGAATTTACAATCTGGTCACAGGCCTATCAGATCATAATTTGACACTAGTGGTTAGGAAGCTGACTAAGAAAAGAATGGTTCATTATATAAAAAAGGACACTAAATCCATTAATCAGGCATTCCAAAACAGAAAAGGGCAGAATTTGAATGGGACTTGATGCAAATGGACTGGTCCACAGTAACAGAAACACACAACGTGGACAAATGCTGTGATAATTTTACAACAGCTATCACTGGATTAATTGACAAACACACTAAAACATGGCAGAGCAGACCAAGAAGAAACTCGCTCCCATGGTTTAGTCAAGACCTTTGGCAATTAATGAAAAGACGTGACTTTGCCCTTAAAAAATGTCTTATCTCTAAAACTAACACTGATCATTTAATTTATACTGGCTTAAGAAACAAAGTTGTAGCTGAACGCAGGGCTAAAATGAATTATTTTTCAAAGCTTATTGAAGAGTCCATAGGAAATAGCTCTGCACTGTGGAAGCACATTAACACTTTAACCAACTCCAATGCCTCAAAACATCATAGAATTAAGGGTTTAACGATAAACAACAAATTTATTTCAGACAACGCATCAGTTGAAAGTGAGTTTAATGCTTTCTTTATAGAATCAGTTTAGGAACTATCCAAAAACTTAAAATCTGTCGAGTTAAGACCAGACACACTCAGTCAGAAAACTCAAAATGGATTTTACATCAAAGAAGTAACTTTCGAAAAAGTCAGTAAGATCATGAATAACCTGAACAACTCAAAGACTAGGGATATTCATGATTTGGATGGTGAACTGATAAAATATCATAGAACTCAATTACTTAAGCCAGACTTGACATGTAATTATAGACCCATTGCCATTCTCCCAGTTGTGTCCAAGATATTAGAAAAAGTTGTAGCAGAGCAACTCATACTACATCTTGAGACAAACCACTTGCTGCATCAACAACAATTCGGGTTTAGACCCAAACATTCTACTGAGACTGCAAACTGTTACCTTATTGAGAAAATAAAATTCTTTCTGGTTAAGGGACATGTTGTGGGAGCAGTTTTCCTAGACTTGAAAAAAGCCTTCAACACTGTTAACCACAATGTGTTGCTATCCAAACTTTCTAAATTTCAATTCTCTGATCAGGCTTCGCAGTGGTTTGACTCATGATGACTCATTTTTTTGTGTCCATAAGGTTTAGTTAACTTTTAAAGGCTTAAAATCTAAAAATAAATGCACAGATGACATGCTTTCATCCTTTGTTTTGAGGACCTAGTCTAAAATGTATATTTATTATACATTTTTAGAGAATATTTGGGGTATTTAGGCCAAAATGTCAAAGTGGTGTAACCGTTGAAACTTCGTACCAAAGAATTAAACTTGATTTAAAAAGGTTCAATTTTCATATAACACCCTATGAACTAGCCTGGCATAATCTTACAATAGAACTGTTCAATAGTAAATAAAAGTAGTGGAACATCATTGTTCTTATTATTATAATTATTTTAGGGAAATCGTGTCACCCCGTCAAGTACCAAATTGTCAACATGGTGTAACCACCATTGAAGGAGCCATTTTGTTAATATATTCATTATATCATGTGACAAGAAGTGATATCACAAAGAAGAACCCCTGATGGTCCTAACTGCTGCACGCCATGTTTAGCAACTCTCTTTTAAACATGAGATAATTTGACATTTTAAGGGCGTGGTCAGGTATGTCAAATGGTATGACCTCAGAAAAACATTAACAATTTATGATAATTATAAAAATTTGTATTCACTTCGAAAATTTGATTTGAAATGTTCACACCAGGAAATGGGCTTACATAGGTCTCAATGATAATGCCTGTCAAATTTGAGTTGAAGTGGAAATGTCAAATGGTGTAACCGGTTACACTATTTGACATTTATGACAAGCCTTTCTGTTAGAGGCCACTTTTGCTGTATTTATAACTGAACTGTTTTCTTTTTACCCTTTTTATCTGTATCATGTACTTTATAAGCTAGGCTATGTTTTTATAGCTATAGCTATAGGGACTAAAACGACTTCCGGCGCCGACGCAAGTGGCCGCATATCCAGTAGCTCCGTCCCTGTCGTTTTAAATATTTTATCGGTATTTTTGCTAACCTTTCTTTTTTTAATACACTTACGGTGTAGAACATTGTATATCCTATGGATACTCTTACTTCTTTTCAGGAATATAGCAGCGGTAAACTTGGTTATTCAAGGGAGAAGCTGCTCTCACTCCGAACAATGGGACAAGCCGGCATCGTTCACCCCATACCTGAGGAGCTGAGACGGAAGTACAGAGGATGCAGAGCCAGAGCCAAGGTAAAAGCTAGGCTAAGCGGTGGAAGTACAAGCCCTGTGTTCCGTCGATAGTTATGGGGAACGTTAACTGTCTAACCAACAAGACAGATGAGCTGGCTGCCCTTGTGAGGAACGACCGGACATTTAGAGAGTGCAGTTTAATGTGCTTCTCAGAAACCTGGCTTACACAAAAGACCCCCGACGCTAACATGGATCTACCGGGCTTCACACCAGTGAGAGCGGACAGAGACACTAAACGCAGTGGCAAACGGAAAGGAGAGGGGCTTGCGCTGTTTATTAACACCAAATGGTGCCACCAGGGACATGTTACTGTGAAGGAGGCAACGTGCAGCAAGGACATTGAGCTGCTGGCGGTAGGTCTCCGACCATACTACATGCCCAGGGAGTTCTCCCACTCCATTGTTGTTTGTGTTTACATCCCTCCGCGAGCGCACGCTGAGACCACGTGTGACGTCATCCACTCTACCATCACGAGACTACAGACACAACACCCTGATGCATTCATTGCCATCTCTGGGGACTTTAACCATCAGACTCAACACTACCGGACTTTCACCAGTTTGTAAGCTGTCCTTCCATGAAGAACAGGACAATAGACCTGCTGTATGCAAATGTGAAAGAAGCTTACACTGCCATCCCTCTACCACCACTGGGGAAGTCTGATCACAACCTGGTCCTTCTTAATCCACAGTACAAGCCACAGATTCAGAGACACCCAGTAACCACATGCACCTTCAGAAAGTGGTCTCCTGAGGCAGTGGAGACACTAAGAGACTGTTTTGAGTCGACTGACTGGAGCACCCTGCAAGAGCCACACGGTGAGGACATTGAGGGGGTCACACACTGCACAACTGACTACATGAACTTCTGTATGGATGTTGTAGTTCCCACAAAACCTGTGTGCTGCTTCCTGAACAACAAGCCCTGGATTACCAGTAATGTCAAAGACATCCTTAACAGGAAGAAGAGGGCATTCAAGGAAGGAGACCAGGCAGAGCTGAAGCGCGTCCAGGGGGAACTCAAGGTCCGGCTCAGAGAGGCAAAGGAGGAGTACAGAAGGAAGGTGGAGAAGAAGCTGCAGAACAACAACACGAGAGGTCTGGGAGGGCATGAAAACCATCACAGGCTGCAAGAATAAAGGTAACAACACAGAAGATGGGGACCCTGTGAGAGCAAACCAGCTCAACCTGTTTGACTGCCAGGCCACTGCAGCTAGTGTCTGCCCCCCCCAGCACCTCTCTTCGCACCCCCACCTCCCCTGACGACAACACCACCCATACTGCCACCAGGACAATGACAACACCTCCCCCTCCCTCCACACTCGGGGACTGTTCACCCCCCTTTAACCCCCTCCCTTTCCACGGACAATTCAACTCCCCTCCCTCCCACCATTACCAAGGAGCAGGTGAGCAGAGAGCTGAAAAGACTCCGTCCCAGGAAGGCAGCAGGCCCGGACGGGGTGTGTCCAAGGATGCTTAAGGCTTGTTCTGCCAAACTGGGCAGCCGCTTCAGCATGTCTTCAACATGAGCTTGCGGCTTGGGAAGGTCCCTGTGCTCTGGAAGACTTCGTGCCTCACCCTGGTCCCCAAGAAAAAAAAACCCAGTGAGCCAGGCGACTTCAGGCCAATTGCACTGACATCCCACGTCATGAAGACCTTTGAGCGGCTGCTGCTCCATCTCCTCAGACCCCAGGTCAACCATGCCCAGGACCCACTGCAGTTTACTTACCAGGCGAAGGTAGGCGTGGACGATGCCATCCTCTATCTTCTACACAGGGCTGTCCAGATCATCTGGACAAAGGGAGCAGCGTGATGAGAATCATGTTCTTTGATTTCTCAAGCACCTTTAATACCATCCACCCCTCCTACTGAGAGACAAGCTGACCAAGATGAGGGTGGACTCGCACCTGGTGAGATGGATCACGGACTACCTGCAGATAGTGTCCATGTTTGATGACCAGTCCAGCCTGTCGTCCAACTGCAGCCCCAGGTACCCGTAAGTCTTGACCACCTCCACGTCGACCCCCCCAATGGAAACAGGTTGTAGATGTGGCTTGTTCCTTCGGAAGTCCACCACCATCTCCTTGGTCTTGGAGGTGTTCAGCTGCAGATGGTTTGAACTGCACCACGTCACAAAGTCCCCTACCAGGCTACTATACTCCTCCTCCTGTCCATCCCTGACACAACCAACTATCACAGTGTCATCCGAGTATTTCTGCATGTGGCAGAGCTCCGTGTTATACTGGAAGTCAGAGGTATACAGGGTGAACAAGACAGGAGAGAGCACGGTCCCCTGTGGTGCTCCGATGCTGCTGACCACAGTGTCAGATGTGCAGTCCTTCAGTCTGACGTACTGTGGTCTCTCTGTGAGGAAGGCTGGCTCTGTGGTGGGCGCAGAGCTGGACTCTCTAGTGACAGTGGCAGAGAGGACCCTGAACAGAATGCTCTCCATCATGGACAACACCCACCACCCTCTGCACAGCACCTTCACCAGGCAGAGGAGTGTGTTCAGTGGCAGACTGCTGTCACAATCCTGTTCCACAGACAGACTTAAGAACTCTTTGGTCCCCCTGGCCATACGTCTGTACAACACCTCACGGTTATGGCAGGGGAAAGCACACACTTGGACTAAATCTTCTTTTTTCCATTTCCCATCTGCACAGCTGTCCCATGAGTCAGCCTCTAGTTGGACACTTTAATGATCACCTCAATTACTTAGATAGCACCTTTAATTTAATGTTTGCACTGCCTCTTATTTAATGTCTGTTTTTGATAACTCTGCACTATCTGCTTTTTTAAACATTGCTGTACATATATAAACAACACAATTTCAGAAGGTCAACACTTTTTAATTTTTTTATATTCAGGTCTAATTACAGATTTTTTTCCTCAACTGTTTATAGGTTCTTGCTTTAAATTACGCATTTTTTTATCCCTGCACAGGTTATGTACATTTCTTATTTTTAATTGCACAGTTTAAGTTTGTTTCATTTAGGGGTATTCTTTAAATCGGGTTAATATATATATGTATGGGAGGGGGGCGTCAGTTTTGCGGCTTAATTTGTAACAAATGTTTCATGTCATGTACGTCTTGTAACCTGCTACTAGATGCTTTGAATTTCCCTCGGGATCAATAAAGTATCTATCTATCTATCTATCTATCTATCTATCTATCTATCTATCTATCTTTATCTCTGTTGTCTCTAAAAAGCCTCCCGTGGAGAGGTGTTGCAAATTAGTATTTTGCTATAAACACTAAGAGCAGTGCATCTGGAACTTGTGCATGGTTAAATGTTACAGCACCAATGTTACTGTATGTCCATGTTAAGTAAACAAACAAATAATAAGTGTCCTGATGGTTCATGTCCTGATGTTCTCATGTCCTGATGTTCTCATGTCCTGATGTCCTCATGTTCTCTTGTCCTGATGTTCCCATGTCCTGATGGTTCATGTCCTCATATTCTCATGTCCTGATGGTTCATGTTCTCATGTCCTGATGTTCCCATGTCCTGATGGTTCATGTTCTCATGTCCTGATGTTCTCATGTTCTCTTGTCCTGATGTTCTCATGTTCTCTTGTCCTGATGTTCTCATGTTCTCTTGTCCAGATGTTGTGATGTCCTCATGTTCTCTTGTCCTGATGTTCTCATGTCCTGGTGGTTCATGTTCTCATGTTCTCATGTGCAGGAGTCCTATAATAATGTGAAGCAGTGGCTGCAGGAGATCGATCGTTACGCCAGTGAGAATGTCAACAAACTGCTGGTGGGAAACAAGTGTGACCTCACGACCAAAAAGGTGGTCGACTACACCATGGCTAAAGTAATGATCTGTTATAATTCATCTTCTTTGTTATTGAGGAATGTAATTCAGTACATTTTAAAACAGTAGATTTTGATAATGTTAGGGTAGGGAACGTTTTAAACTGAGTGTAGACTTCATTATTAAACGTGCTGCTTGATGAAGAGGCTACTTTCAAATAGTGTGTGTGTGTGTGTGTGTGTGTGTGTGTGTGTGTGTGTGTGTGTGTGTGTGTGTGTGTGTGTGTGTGTGTGTGTGTGTGTGTGTGTGTGTGTGTGTGTGTGTGTGTGTGTGTGTGTGTGTGTGTGTGTGTGTGTGTGTGTGTGTGTGTGTGTGTGTGTGTGTGTGTGTGTGTGTGTGTGTGTGTAGTCCTAATATAAACATAAATAATATGTGAATGTTTAGGAAATATCACATATCTGATTGGATGATTTATATTGACCTGCTTTCACTTGTACAATTAATAACATTTGAATATGATGCCCTGGTCGTGTGCAGGAGTTTGCAGACTCTCTGTCCATCCCGTTCTTGGAGACGAGCGCTAAAAATGCCACGAATGTGGAGCAGGCGTTCATGACGATGGCGGCAGAGATCAAGAAGAGGATGGGCCCTGGGGCCACAGCGGGGGGGGACAAACCCAAACTGAAAATAGAGAGCACCCCTGTCAGGCAGTCAGGGGGGGGCTGCTGTTAGAGGACCTGTCTTAACAGTTATTTCTCACCCCCTCATCCCCCATCAGATCTCATCCCCATCACTCATCAGCCCTCAACCCCATTACCCATCAGCACTCCCCCCCCCCCCACACACACACACACACACACACACACACACACACACAATCTGAATGTTTTACAGTTTAAGAACTGGAATTTTGTATGTTTAAATGTTGATATTTTGGTTGATTTTAAAGTTTTTTTAAAGATAATTTACTGTCTCATCCGAGGAGGGTTTGGGGGAGGCCTGACGGGGGATGGCACTGCCATGTGCCCCTTGCTCTGTCAGCCGGGGGGGGGGGGACTGACAGAGCAAGGGGCTTGGATCGGGTTCTTTTTCTGCTGGAAAACCACATTTGACTTTGGCCTTTAAGTTTTATTTTTGGTTGGGGGGTTGTCTTTTGTTGTTGTTGGCTTTTTTTCTGGGGTGGGTTGGGGCGGGTTGGGGCGGGTTGGGGGGGGGGTTCATGTCATTTGCACACTTGATGTTTTTAAAAATGCAGACTTTCAGGTGAGATCACCTTTCTCTCACTTTGATCATGTTGTTTTTCTGTACATATTATAAATATCTCTATAATAAAACGATGAAAAGATCAACGTCAGCTTGACTCCATTTCTATGAACTTTATCAAGATGACAGTCTTTATTTTCAACAGACCAAAACAAGAAGAGGTCAAATCTAAACACAAACGTTCTCTCAATCTTTCTGTTTAGGGTTAGGGTCAAATAACTTCTGATGAAATGTGGTGTTTTTTGATGGTGATTTAATTAAATCTGATTCCATGTTCTTTAAACAATTATCTGTTTGGATCTAAGATATTTAGTTCAACCTAGAAAGGTTTTTTTGTTTCACTTTGAGAACAAACAAGAACAAAGAAAAATGACAAATGTGTTTCCATGACAACACAATTTATTTACACATATCCTTGTACAGACTCGTTCAGCTCGTCATGTCTGCCATTTTTTTCCTCTTTTTGAAGTCTTTAAGTCCAGATAATAGAGACCATCCTTGGGGGGGCCCCCTTCAGTCAACTGGCCCCTGGAAGATGAGTTTGATATGGCCCTGCTCGCCTGTCAGCCATGTGCCGCAGAAGGGGCAGGCGGCATGAAAGGCATGGGTGCCATGGGGTAACGGGATCTGGCTCCACCCCCCCACAGTCTTCTCAGAGCAGACATGGCCACATGGGCAGAATGCATGGGTTGGGGGCCCAGCATCCAGGTACAGTCCCCCCTCACAGCCGAGCCACAATGGCACGTAGGGGCCGACGCGGCGGCACATAGGGCACTCCCTCTCTCCTGTGCTGGGGGGGGCGGTGCCCCCAGGTCCGGCTGGGACCTTCTCCTTCCTAAAGCCCCAGTTGTGGTATCCATGCACGTGGCCGCAGTTCACATAGACCCAAGGCTGCTTCTTGTCCACGATCTCCCGCTGGGCGAGGCTCGGAAAGGCCAGCGTGTTGAAGCCCACTGGACACTGTGGCCGTGCTGCATTCAATTCCTGCCGCAGAGACTCCAGCTGCTTGAGGGTGGGGGTGTGGCGGAGCCCAGCGGGGGTCCGCCACAACAACGTGGCCCCGCAGAGGTCGATCAGAGAGCCATCCTGAAGGGTGTTTGACTCGTTCTCCACCTGGAGGTTATTAAAATCACATAATCACAAAATAGCAAAGTTTTAACATACAAACCACTCAGCTGATCACATCTATTCATCCTTCTTGATGTATGCGGGGGGGGGGGGGGGATCTGCTTTGTGCTGATTCACTCAGTAAGAAACATATACATGACCACCAGAGGGCACTGTGCTCCACATCATCACACAGTCATCACCATCATTGACTGACGGATTGATTGCTTTGTCTCCATGGTAACATTGAGGATTATTAGCTGTGAATCATTTCACGGAATGAAGATAATGAAATTAACTCATTGGTCAGAGCTTCAGTCGACTTTCAGTCTCACAGTCACAGCACATGGATCATTCCATTCCAGCTCTATAGCGGTGTTTAATATCTAACTTTACATAGATTTGTCTATTTTAAATAATTCACAGCTCAGTGCCTGTCTTGGTATAAATATCACCTTATTAATACTTTTAAAGCAGTTCTGAAAACCACTCATCCTTTAAGTCAACCTCAGGGCTGCTGTGGTGGTTTGACAGATGTGTAGATTTTAGCTGCTGTGGTGGTCTGACAGATGTGTAGATTGTAGCTGCTGTGGTGGTCTGACAGATGTGTAGATTGTGTTTGCAGTGGTGGTCTGACAGATGTGTAGATTGTATTCGCTGTGGTGGTCTGACTGCTGTGGTGGTCTGACATGTTTAGATTGTGGCTGCTGTGGTGGTCTGACAGATGTGTAGATTGTGGTTCCTGTGGTAGTCTGACAGATGTGTAGATTGTAGCTGCTGTGGTGTTCTGACAGATGTGTAGATTGTAGCTGGTCTGACAGATGTGTAGATTGTAGCTGCTGTGGTGGTCTGACAGATGTGTAGATGGTAGCTGCTGTGGTGGTCTGACAGATGTGTAGATTGTGGCTGCTGTGGTGGTCTGACAGATGTGTAGATTGTGGCTGCTGTGGTGGTCTGACAGATGTGTAGATTGTGGCTGCTGTGGTGGTCTGACAGTTGTGTAGATTGTGGTTCCTGTGGTGGTCTGACAGATGTGTAGATTGTAGCTGCTGTGGTGGTCTGACAGGTGTGTAGATTGTAGCTGCTGTGCTGGTCTGACAGATGTGTAGATTGTAGCTACTGGTGGTCTGACTAGCACACACTGGGCCGTCGATGTGTGTGTCTGCTGTATCAGACATGTGTGATATGGTTATGAGGTCACATTAATGCAGACGTAATGAGTTAGAAAGAGGGTGGATCAAGTTCTCTCCTCACCAGTTTTCCTCTTTGCTGGGCCGAGCGAGTCTCTCTCAGAGCAAACACGTTTCCACACACGGAGATTTCCCTCCAAACTCCTGGCGCCGGCTCGCACACAAACTCTCCCGCCGGATGCATTACCAGCACACCATTTGTGGTCAGACCGTCCATCAGTCCATCCGACGTCCGCCACTTAGCTGCACGCTCCTAAACAGGACACACGTACACACACAAACACAAACAGACACACACACACACATTTATAAGCACACACAAATACAAACAGACACACACACATTTATAAGCACACACAAACACAAACAGACACAACGTAGAGGTCAGATGATGATGGAGGATGACAAACAGCTGAGTCTGCGTTTTTACATTTCTATTTCTATCTCAGAGTGAAACTCGGGAGTGTTGTCATCGCTGATCATCTCTCAGCCAATGAAATCGCATGTTTCCATCCTTTTTGTGATGTAATAAATTACATATTTAAAAACAGCCATTTAGCATTTCTGCTTAAAAATAAAGAATAATTGATAAATGATAAATTAACTTAAGGATCATACCCCTTGGGGCTTATTGCCTTCATGTGATAGGACAGTGGGAAAATCAGAGGGGGAGAGAGAGAGGAGAATGACATGCAGGAAAGGATCCACAGGCCGGACTGGAACCCAGGCAGCTCCCTTGGAGGACTCAAAAAACAATCTGAAAGCATGATATGCTGCAAGTTTGTTACTTAAAGGTCTGAACAAAAATAAATATATAATAATAATAATGTAACCACCCCCCTTATAAAACACACTCACCCCAAGGAAGATGTTCTTGGAGGAGTCGAAGCCAGCGGCGTAGATCCGGGCGGTGTAGGGGGCGCTGCGCTCACACATGATGCGACAGGCGTAACGAGAGATGGTGCTCTGAGCCGACTGACCTCCACCGCCTCCTTCACCTGCTGCCCCCCCACCCTGACCACCACTGCTGCTGCTGCCTGCCGTATCCGTGACAACAAAGTCAATCATGCTCTCTGTGGAGCGACCGATCTGATGGGGAGGAAGACAGTTTTTGAAAGATGTTTTTCTTTCAAGATTTATTTTTGGGATTCTTGCTTTTATTGTGTGTTTTAAAATGTGTGTTGACAATCTCAAATAGTCTGTATGTTAGACAGGAAGTGTTTTCAAAGTGGGCGAGTCGACCTCTGAGCTCACAAAGGGAAGAAGAAGAATCACCGCTGTGATCTGCTGCAGGAAGAGGGAAAACAGAGTAGACGTCTCTGACTCATCTTCATTTCCTCACTCTCATCCTTTCTTACTTCTTCACTAGGGTTAGGGTTAACCCTTTCCTCCTCACTCTTTCTGCTGACGCAGCGTTCTGATAAATCTGCTCTCGGGTCAGATCTGTTTCTGGTTCTATGTTTCAATATTTCTCTCGTTCTCTGACTCTAATGACCAACTGGTTCTGTCACTATTAGAATAAAAGACTCCTTACAGAAACCATTTAAAAAATATCAGAAGTTTTCTCTTAGTTATTTATTTTCTGCAGAGAAAATTAAGATTCACATCATAGACCTTTATTATTTGAGACTGAAACTTTCAATTCTTCTGACCAACCATCCACCTCTGGTTGTTCAGACAACCCCCAGTCTGACATACCAGTCTGACCCCTGGACTAACCACCACCAGTCTGACATACAACCAACAGGTTGTCTCCAGACAGGCATGCCTGTGTGTGTCTGTGTGTGTGTGTGTTTATGTCTCTGTGTGTGTGTGTGTGTGTGTGTGTGTGTGTGTGTGTGTGTTGACACTGACCTGGAACATGTCTGTGTTGGTGTTGTGTGTGTGTGTGCGTGACTATGTCTGTGTGTGCGCGCGTGTGTGTGTGTGTGTGTGTGTGTGTGTGTGTGTGTGTGTGTGTGTGTGTGTGTAGACACTGACCTGGAACATGTCTGTGTTGGTGTCGTGTGTGTACTCCACGATGACAGAGTGACTTCGTGACAGAGTGTACGAGATGCTGTGCTGACTTTTGTTGCTGAGTGCCTGAAAACAGAAACATGGATTCATTTTTAAACCTTAATTTATAGCTGAGAGGGGGTATGCTTATATTTACTGTGAACTGATTGTTTAGTTGTCCCTTAGTGTGGCCGATGGGTGCGGTAACTCACCTTGGACACCAGGGGGGTGGACACATTGTGGATGACGTCAGGTTTGACTCCGTTTGCTTTCGGTCGTTTATAGAGAGCCAGGCGACTTCTCCTGCGACCTTTGTCCCCGTTAGCCAGAGAGCCATTGTGTCTGCAAAACATTCAAATATGCATAATAATAATTCAAAAAAACAATTCAAATCAAATCTGTGTCATTCCCCACTCTCTCTCTCTCCCTCCCGACTCTATCCACTGTCCTCTCTCTACAATAAAGGCACATCAGGTGAGAGATTCCTGGACTGAACTGCAGGTAGACTTTAGATCTGTCCGACCTGTTACGCTGTAGTGGTGAAAGAGTATCAATAATAAGTCGTCTCCTTCCTCACCCTAAAACGATGAGCTCTCCGTACTTGACGGGCTCCTTGTCGTCGAGGAAGACTCCGTCTTGGGGCTGAGAGCTGGAGCCCAGGGGGGGTGAGGGCTGGCTCTTATTGCAGGACGGCCTCAGCTCCAGAGATGGGGGGGGACACAGCGCCTCTGAGCTGCCCTCCAAAACCATGCCCACCTGCCTCAGCTGGGGCTCACTGCTGGGGAGGGGGGGACAATGGGTGAGTTACAGATGAAAAAAAAACAGTAATACACAACAGAGTAGCTACCACGTGTTCACGTCAACCCTCACGGCAGGAGTTAAAGCTTGGAGTGACACACACAGCCGGGCACTTGACCAATAAGCCGATCGAAATGCTGGCATTTGAAAAACTCAAAGAAACATTACATTATAACAGAAGTAGTATACATGTAATGTAGGAGACATACAAAGGGTATCAAACAGACACACATGATGTCTCTAACACCTTCATTGTTTGTCTCAGTTCATGGTATGGTTTCATTTGAAAATTAAATGACTTTTTTATATATATATTTGTACAATAATGGGTTAAATATAACATTTTAGATCATTTACATTTTGTAATTGTGTTTTTGGAAGGCATCACGTGAGCCCCCTCTCTTTCTATCATGATCCCCACTTTGGTTACTGACTCAAGTAAATCTTGCCATTAAAAAAATAAATATGTACAGATTCACCAACATACGTCCCATTGCTAAAGCTACATCATAAACCTCAGAAAGGGTAAAGTAACCTGGTGATTGTCTGTTTTGATCACATGATCTTATACTTCAAGCCTGATCTAGTTCTCACGAGAAGACACACAGAGTGATATGGTGCCATTGTTTGATCTGAGACTGACCTAAGACTGACCTAACACTGTGCTAAGACTGAGCTAACATTGTGCTAAGACTGACCTAACACTGTGCTAAGACTGTGCTAAGACTGAGCTAAGACTGACCTAACACTGTGCTAGGACTGAGCTGACACTGTGCTAAGACTGAGCTAACACTGTACTAAGACTGAGCTAAGACAGAGCTAAGACTGAGCTAAGACTGAGCTAACACTGAGCTAACACTGTGCTAAGACTGACCTAACACTGAGCAAAGACTGACCTAAAACTGACCTAACACTGTGCTAATACTGAGCTAACATTGTGCTAAGACTGACCTAACACTGTGCTAAGACTGTGCTAAAACTGAGCTAAGACTGACCTAACACTGTGCAAAGACTGAACTGACACTGTGCTAAGACTGACCTAAGACTGACCAAACACTGTGATAAGACTGAGCTGACACTGTGCTAAGACTGAGCTGACACTGTACTAAGACTGAGCTAAGACAGAGCTAAGACTGAGCTAAGACTGAGCTAACACTGAGCTAAGACTGTGCTAAGACTGACCTAACACTGAGCAAAGACTGACCTAAACTGACCTAACAGTGTGCTAAGACTGACCTAACACTGTGCTAAGACTGAACTAACACTGTGCTAAGACTGTGCTGAGGCTGAGCTAAGACTGACCTAACACTGTGCTAAGACTGACCTAACACTGTGCTAAGACTGAGCTGACACTGTGCTAAGACTGACCTAAGACTGAGCTGACACTGTGCTAAGAGTGAGCTGACACTGTGCAAAGACTGAGCTAAGACTGAGTTAACACTGTGTTAAGACTGACCTATCTCTGTGCTAAGACTGTGCTTAGACTGAGCTAAGACTGACCTAACACTCTGCTAAGACTGAGCTAAGACTGAGCTAAGACTGTGCTAAGACTGACCTAACACTGTGCTTAGACTGTGCTAAGACTGAGCTAAGACTGACCTAACACTGTACTAAGACTGAGCTAAGACTGACCTAACACTGTGCTTAGACTGAGCTAAGATTGTGCAAAGACTGAGCTGACACGGTGCTAAGACTGAGCTAAGACTGACCTAACACTGTGTATAGACTGACCTAAGACTGTGTTAAGACTGACCTAAGACTGTGCTAAGACTGACCTAACACTGTGCTAAAACTGACCTAACACTGTGCTAAGACTGACCTAACACTGTGCTAAGACTGACCTAACACTATGCTAAGACTGACCTAACACTGTGCTGAGACTGACCTAAGACTGTGCTAAGATTGACCTAATTCTCTGCTAAGACTGACCTAACACTGTGCTAAGACTGAGCTACGACTGAGCTGACACTGTGCAAAGACTGAGTAAGACTGAGCTAGCACTGTGCTAAGACTGAGTTAACACTGTGTTAAGACTGACCTATCTCTGTGCTAAGACTGTGTGCTAAGACTGAGCTAAGACTGACCTAACACTGTGCTAAGACTGAGCTAACACTGTGCTAAGACTGAGCTAACACTGTGCTAAGACTGACCTAACACTGTGCTAAGACTGAGCTAAGACTGAGCTAACACTGTGCTAAGACTGACCTAAGACTGTGCTAAGACTGACCTAACCTTGTGCTACAGACTGACCTAAGACTGTGCTAAGACTGACCTAACACTGTGCTAAGACTGAGCTAAGACAGAGCTAAGACTGACCTAACACTGTGCTTAGATTGACCTAACACTGTGCTAAGACTGACCTAAGACTGTGATAAGACTGACCTAACACTGTGCTAAGACTGACCTAACACTATGCTAAGACTGACCTAACACTGTGCTGAGACTGACCTAAGACTGTGCTAAGATTGACCTAATTCTCTGCTAAGACTGACCTAACACTGTGCTGAGACTGACCTAAGACTGTGCTAAGACTGACCTAACACTATGCTAAGACTGACCTAACACTGTGCTGAGACTGACCTAAGACTGTGCTAAGATTGACCTAATTCTCTGCTAAGACTGACCTAACACTGTGCTGAGACTGACCTAAGACTGTGCTAAGATTGACCTAATTCTCTGCTAAGACTGACCTAACACTGTGCTAAGACTGAGCTACGACTGAGCTGACACTGTGCAAAGACTGAGTAAGACTGAGCTAGCACTGTGCTAAGACTGAGTTAACACTGTGTTAAGACTGACCTATCTCTGTGCTAAGACTGTGTGCTAAGACTGACCTAACACTGTGCTAAGACTGAGCTAAGACTGTGCTAAGACTGACCTAACACTCTTCTAAGACTGAGCTCACACTGTGTTAAGACTGAGCTAAGACTGTGCAAGACTGACTAAACTGAGCTAAGACTGAGCTACACGTGCTAAGACTGACCTAACACTGA